CAGTTTCCTTGCTTTAAAGTATAGAGGAACTAATGTTTGGGGTTTTGTACACAGTGAATAAAATTGTCAAATGAGAAAAATACGAGCTGCCTTACTATTCCACTGTTAATTTAAGTATCACTTTTACCTTTTAAATGTTCTAGTATTATAATTTTGTTTTGTTTTGCTGGATTTTATTTCACACTATTTTCTATGTTTAAAAACAGTCTAAAATATGTAAAGACTGAAATTAGGTAATAAACACTTTATCTTAGTCTCTCCAACAAGCTCTAGATCTTCCCCAGAGAGATCCCAGTCAGTGGAATATGCTCAGGGAGGCACCCAGTAGGCATGCTGGTCATTTTGATGTGGTGGAGCAGTGTCTCTCTTTCAAGCACCCCTCAGATGACAGAGCTCTGCACAGTACCATAGACCTAGAGGAGCTAACTCTAATCACAGCTGCTTCACACTCAGCTGCAAACCACTCTAGTACACACTGAAGGTCATGGCCTTAAGAAGCCTGAAGTACCATGTCATTTGCCAAAGATGAGACCCCAAGGTTCACAAACCAGACACCATTTAATCCATGAAAACCACCAACAGAATCAGTGACAAAGGTCAGCCCAGGCAGAGTTTAACCTTCTCTGGGAACAACTTCAGCTTTGTGTCAAGAATGCAAACACAGCTCTCGCTTTGGGAATACAAAACAAATCAGGTTACCAGAGGGCTCATAATTGGTTTATTTCTCTCAATCCAATTGAAAGTTTTCTATCCTCTGTGATTGGAATTATTGTCTTGCCTGAAAATCCACACTTGTCTTTCTTCAGATTCTTTTGAACAACTGTCCAGGTAGACTTCTCCATTCATTTTTCCTACAATTAAATAAAGTCTACCACTACCTTATGGTGTAAGACAGCCCCCTCCATAGTGTCTTAATGTACAAACTTTTCTTTTTGCATAGTGTTTTTGAGGGTGATGTGGAGAACAAATCACTCCAAAAAATGCTGTGTACAATGATATCAAAAGAGTTCACCTTTGAACATGTGCATACAGGTCAATGCAGTAGATTGGTTACTTTTTTTATGGGAAAAACTGCTATTTGCATGTCTTGATGCATGCTCGATCATCCAGATAAGTAAATCCCAAAAGTTGATTAAGTTCTTCTGGACGTAGCATTTTCAATGGAGAAACATTTATCACTCATATCCTCCCTGGTGAATTTGATGTGTTAATCCACTGAGTTAATGTGATCCATTACTTGTGGTACATCCTGAGATTTGATTTTCAGCTAGGTGTCATCCACATACCTGAACCAATGACTTGGTGGTGTTCCAGGATAGGATAACAAAGATCTCTTTTCCACTTCTTCCATGTACAAGTTATGAACTACCTATTCTTTCAGTGACTGGAACCCAAGTGAAGTAAGAGGTGTAACATTGTACAAGACCATTGTTTCATCTGCCTCCATAATGGCATCTCTCACTTTCTCGACAAGTTGTTCTGGATGTGTTCAGAGCTGCCTACCAACGGGGTTGAGCATCGAAGCCAGAAAATTTGAGATGGCCATGTTGATCATACAGAAAATTGGTCTTAAATGTACGCCCTGTTCATATAAACAGTAAGCCATAGAATCAAGAATTACTTACCTGGATGTTTGAGCATGCATCAAGACAGTAATCAACGTATTAACATTATCTGTGCAAAGATGAATACTTCTGAAGTAAAACAGTGAAAAATTACAGCACTTTAAAGGAATAGAAAGCCAGGTATTTGGCACATTTTGTTACCTTTTTGTGAGTAGAAATTTCTTAGGTATTGAACAGAAATGATTTACTTTATTTACATACCTAAAAAGGTTTCCCTCTAAATTCAGAGGGGCTGTAACTTCGGCTTCTATTGTCCGATTTGTGTTGATTGACATCTCTTTTTAATTGTTTGAGCTAATAAAATCACAGTAATATGGCCATGTTCACGTCAGTCCCACCAATCAGAAGTTGCAAGGCCAAAGAAAAATGCGTGACCTCGCCCTGGTCCAATCAAATGTCTGTAATGGGCAGAAAATTATATATTTTTTAAAATAGTAAACATCTCCAAGGCATTGTGGGAGAAGGAAACATTCTGTAGTCCCATATAGATGTTTAAACATTGGAAACAACAGCAAAGTCCGATTATAACGTTACTGATTATTGATCGTAAAAATATTGTGGTCTGATTTTGCGGCTGGTTCGTTGATTTTTGGTCAGAGTGTGACGAAGCTTGCAGTTCTGGAATCTGTAAGAGCTTTCTTTTCAAAACCATGTATTGTTTTATTGGTTAGCTGAGGCTCCATGCTGATGAGGCTCCACTGTGTTTGTTTACTGACATTTCATGAAATGGTGTAACTGCTTTTGTGTTTGTGTTTGGTGGTTGTAGAAATGGTAGAAATGGATAATATGAGCGTTTAGCTGAGATTCACAGGTCTCTATGGATACCATGTATGCCAGGACTTAATATTAGTGAGCTTGTCTTGCAGACGATTGAACGGATCTAACTCCTTTTTGTCCCCAGTACCAGGTACCTTTATGCATGTTGAACTTTTTTAATCCCTGGCTCTAATGCTGCTACTCTATCAGATCATGGCAGAAGAGACGACTCTCTACAATTTACATTGGCTTCTCCTGTGATTAAATGACACATTAAAACAGATATGTATGGGAACATATGAGTAAATTAGTGTTGTTAAAGAAAGAATTCTTATTTTTTTATTTTATATTTCACTTGCTGGCACAACTGCTGTAAGAAGACTCTTCAGAGATGTGCTATCAGGAAGCGGCAGTCTTTATACTTAAAATGGCAGCACAGAAGGATTTGAAAGAGAGGACTTGTAAGTGTGCATCCTTGTAATCTTAACATAGATTAGCATTATAGTGGCTCTTTTTATCAATACAGATATAAAGAGCCACATATTCATCTTGACTCAAGTATTTGTGATCAAGGAAAAAAGATTTCAGAATATGTTAGGAGATATTGGATGGTAATGATTTCTATTGATATACTGATCTTTGTTGAAATTGCAGATTTCCAGTTGCATATGATTGATTTGATTTGTGGATTTGATTGATTCAATTCAATGTTATTTATACAGCAACAATAGGGAAGGCAAGTTTATTTATATAGTACAATTAAACAACAAGGTGATTCAAAGTGCTTTAAAGAGAAATTAAAAAACAAAAACAGCATGATTTAAAATTGGTTAAAAAACAGTAGATAAAATCAGAACACTAGATAAAATCAGTAGTTAAAATATAAGTTTTGAAATTTAAGCTTAAAAGTGTGGATTTGGTGCTTTATTCAAATGCAGCTGAGAATA